TTTTGTTGGAGGGTTTGCTTCCGTCGGCCAAAAAGAGCGCCAGTCATGAGAAAGATCGGAGGAGGTATCGAGCGGGAGCGTTGCTGCTGCAGGGCGGCCTGCAACGTGGAGGCGAGAGTGTCTCGAGTCAGTAAACAGCAAGGAAGTGTCCATCGGGAGCGTTGGTTTTGTTGGAGGGCCGGTTTGGGGCGGCACGCAAAAGCGCCAATCTTGAGAAAGATCGGAGGAGGTATCGAGCGGGAGCGTTGTTGCTGAACGGTGGGTCGATCTGCAACGCCGAGGCGAGAGAGTCTCGCCTCAGTAAAAAGCAAGGAGGTATCGATCGGGAGCGTTGGTTGTGTTGGAGGGCAGGCTTCGGGCGGCGAGAGCGGCAGTTCTGTAACAAAGCGAGGAAGTATCGAGTGGGAGCGTTGTTGTTGTTGGGGGGGCAGTTCGGGGTGCTCTTAGCGAAATCGTAGCCAGCGGCGAGGCGAGAACGCCAGAGCGCATAGAGGAGGTCCAACAAAAATCTTCGTCTCGTGGCGAATCACGCATTTAGATTGTTCGCTCTTCGTCGCCCGCGCGCCACTCAACATGTACATCCCAATCCTCGACCCCCGCCCTCGACAATTACGAACGTAACCCCCTCTGTGGGGGCTTCTTTTGTCGTGCCAGCTCGCGAACCCCCCCGTCCAGATCCAGGGGAGGGGGTAGGGAGGAGGGGTAAACCCCTCCCCGAAGGGGAAGAAAGGGGGTGGAAGAGGGAACTCCCTAAACCACCTACGCCCAGAGGGCTGGTGGGATCACGAACGCAACCCCCTCTGTGGGGGCCTCTTTTGTCGTGCCGGCTCCGGATTCAGCCCGACCGGGTAGCACAGCCGGGTCGGGCCGGCGGGCCCTCCAACGGGCGGGCCCGAGCAGGCGGGTGGACCCTGACGGGCGGGCCGGGCGGCCGGGCCCCGGCGGGCGGGTTGGGCGGGGCGAGTCGAGCGGGCGGGACACGAAGGAGCGCGAGTCCCGGGTAGAGCTTGGGGAGGCATCGGGCGAGGACGCGATGCCCAAGCCATGCGTGCGGAGGTCTTGGGCCGAAGGGCGCTTCCCCTGGGCGGCGAGAGCACGAGTGCCGAGCCGCGAGGGTGCGATGCCTGCACAGATTTTGAGGACGTCCCGGGCGAGACCGCGATGCTTGAGCAAGTTGCGAGGAAGTCTCGAGCGAAAGCGCGATTCCTGCACGAGTCGTGGGGACATCTCAGGTGGGAGCCACTATTGCTGTAGACCAGGGCCTAGACACTGAGTTTGAGGTTCAAGATCTCTCCTGATAAATATTAGGGTGCGACCGCCAGGGGGGGGCACTTGAATTGGAAAAGCACAGTTGGCACCGGTGGGGGGGACCAAGAGTTGTAAATGTTCACACATGCGACTGATCGCTCTTCATTGCCCGCGTGCCACTCCACATGTAAGCCCCAAACACCGCACCCTTGCCGTCTTCGTTCCTGACCAGGCCACTCGGGAGGGGGCTTCTCTTCATCGTGCCAGCTCGCGGAGAAGCCCCGACAGGGCAAGATAAGCGACTCGGGCGCGCCAACCCGAATAGGCGAGTCGGTGGAACGGACTTCTACGGGTGGGTCGGGTGGGCGGACCCAACCGGGCAGCACGGGCGGGCTTCCGAGCAACGGAACGGGCGGACTCTGCCGGGCGGGCCGGGCGCGTCGGAGTCGAGCGGGCGGATTTGGACGGGCAGGCAGGGCGGGACAGCAGCAGCACACGCGCTCACGGCTGCACATCGCGGTGGCTGACTCTCTTCATCAAGCAGTGGCGAAGCGTCTTGGCGTGCCGATAGGCCCACCAAACAGTGTTCTGAGAACCTTTTGCAGTTTCCACTAAATGTTCCTAGAACATTTCTGGCTGGGATTATCCTGGTTAAACACATTTGTTCTATGTTCTAAGAACATTGGTTTTGTTATTAGAACATTTGTGGGTCCTAAGAATATTCCGTGGTAGGCCGATAGGAACGCCGGGGCGGTCGGTCCCTGCTCAACTTTAGATGCCCCGCATGGAGGGCGCGCTGGCGGCCCACAAAGGGCGCGGCCCGGAGGTTGTCGCCACGCTGGCCGGGCTGGACCTGGACAGCAGGCTCTGCGTGGTGGCCGCCGCGGGGATCGCCTTCGCGCTCTTCGGGGACATCCGTCTCGAGCTGCTGATCGCCGCCCTGACCTTCCTCAGAGCCGCCTGGGCCGCGGGCTCCGCGTACGGCTCGCGGCTGAGAGCCACCCCAACGGAATGCGCGGAGGCGCCGCCGATGAAGCGCCGTCGCGTGCCAGCTTCTGACGAGAGCCAAGCCGAGAGTACCGAGGGCTGGCCACGGAGGCCCAGCGAGCCTTCGGCGCAGCACGGTTGCGCCAGTGACAGGCAGAGGCTCCCCCGAGTCCGTGGTCGCGACCTGCGCCTGCGACCTCGCGGTACGCAGAGCGTCACGGCGTCGGCCGCGGGGTCGGCCTGCCAAAAGTACGTCGAGTTGATCATGGAGCGTGGGCACGCAAAGCAGTGGGCGGAGGCCCTGGAGCTGCTGACGGAGATGCGGCAGCTCTCCATCAAGCCCAGTGTGACGTGCTTCACCGCACTGATCAGCGCCTGCGGCAAGGGAAGCCAACCCGAGAGGGCCCTCGAACTCTTCGAGGCGATGCAGGGGGAGGGCGTGGAGCCCACCACGGTGACTTATAACGCGCTCATCAGCGCATGCGGCAATGGGCAGATGCCGGACAGGGCGTTGGAGAAGTACGCAGAGATGCAGGAGAGGGGCTTGGCCCCCAACGTGGTCACCTACACCTCCCTGATCCGTGCGTGCGGGCAGGGCCCCCAACCCGAGCGTGCCTGGCAGGTCTTCGACGCCATGAAGGAGGCCGGCGAGAAGCCCAACGTCATCACGTTCGACAGCTTGCTGCAGACGGCCGAGAGGTGCCAGGACCCCGAGAGGGGCCTCCGCATCTTCGCCGAGATGGAGTCGGCCCGCGTCGCGCCCTCGCTGTTCGCGTACCACAGCCTGGCGAGCTGCTGGAGGAGCCGGCCCCTGCCCCGCGCGCTGCAGGCCCTCCGCAGCGTGGAGCGCGAGTGCGGCCCGCTCGGCGAGGCCGCGCGCTCGGCCATCGTGAGGGTCTGCGACCCGGGCGCGGCCAGGGGCGGGCGGGCGGGCGCCGCCGCCGCGGGCGCCGCGGGCGAGCCCGAGCGCCGCAGGCTGCCGGTCACCACCGCGGCCTGCAACGCCCTGATCATCGAGTGCAGCAAGGGCAGGGCGCCCGAGAGCGCGCTGGAGGTGCTGGCCGAGATGCAGGAGGCGGGGCCCAGGCCGGACGCCGTCTCCTATAAGGCGGCCACCCGGGCGTGCGAGAACAGCAGGATGCCCCAGCGGGCGCTGCAGCTATTCCAGGAGATGCTGGACGAGGGCATGCCCCCAGACTTGATGGTCTGCAACTGCGCCATCCGCTGCTGCGAGCAGCTGCGCGATGCAGATAAGGCGATGGCGGTGTTCCAGAAGATGAGGGAGATGGCGGTGAGCCCAAACGCGAGCACCTACGGAACCCTGATCAACGTCTGCCACTACAAGTCGAGCGACCTGGCCATGGGCTTGATCAGGGAGATGCAGGACAGCGGGCTGACGCCCACGTGCTATGCTTACAACGCCGCCATTTGCGCGTGCAGCGGCGCGAGGCTGAAGAACGGCAAGATCGTCGTGCACATAGAGATGGCCTTGGACCTCTTTCGCAGCATGAAGGAGGCAAAGGTCGCGCCCGACGCTGTCACGTACACCACCCTCATCAGCGCCTGCGAGAAACGAGGGTGGATCGGCACCGCCGAGAGGTTGTTCCGCGAGATGGCGACCAACGGCCCCGAGCCAGATTGCATCGCCTACACCGCTTTGATCAGCTGCCTGGCCAGAAGCAGAAAGATGGGGGAGGCCTTGAAGCTTCTGGACGAGATGCGGTCCAAGGGCGTGGCCCCAAACGCCATCACCTACAGCACGCTGGCGTGGGCGTGCAAGAAACACGGCGACCACGCGAGGGCCCTCGAGTTCAAGGAGCTGGAGACGAACTGCACTCCTGCAGAGCGCGCACGCCACCCACGCCACGGATCGAGGAGCAATCGATAGCATGCGCACAGCTTCTGGCGGATCCCTCAGGCCGGCGCCAGTGGCCCCCGCCCCACGGCGGCGCCTCAGGGCGCCGTCACGGGGCGCATGGCCCAGGAACTTGGCGCGCGGACCTTCGAGCGTTCGTGCCGGTGCTGGCCCGGGCATGCGACGCCCCGATGTGTTCAGTGCCCGGTCCCCGCAAGTCCCGACCCCTGCCCCCGGCACGGGCCCTTCATCCCGAGTCGTTCTGTGTAGCTGTGGGCCCCGAGGCCCCGCGGGGGCCTCCAGAGGCCGAAAAAAGACGGCGCAGAGCTTCCGCCCCGAAGTTTCACGACGCGATCATGCCTGGGGCTGCCCTTGCTCTGCATCGAAGAAGAGATTAGGCCATGAACACATACTTGTGGCGCTCCGCGCGGATTTCTTGTATTTGCCGGGCGGAGCGCTTAAGTGTATGGCGTTGTTTCTTGTTTGTCCGAATATTCTTATTAGTAGCGTTAGTATTAGCATTGTTAGTCGTATTACTGCTATTCTTAGTATGTGTATTATTGTGCTTATGTTTAGCATTATTAGCATGGTTATTATTATTATTCCCCATATCCTAAGAGGGGTTTTTGGTAAGTACTTGGACGCATCCTACTCCTCATTCCTCTTCTCCTCCTCCTCCTCCTCATCCTCCTCCTCAGACCTAGACATACGCATACACATACTTACACAGACTTACGCATACTCAGACCTGATCATATTAACTTACTCATACGCAGACCTACTCATACTCAGACCTACTCATACTCAGACTTACTCATGCTGAGACTCACTCACTCATACCCGGATTTACGCATACTCAGACTTACTCATACTCAGACCTGATCGTATTAATTTACTCATACTCAGACCGACTCATAGTCAGACCTAGTCATACTCAGACTTACTCATGTTGAGGCTCACTCATACCCGCACTTACTCATACTCAGACCTTCTCATTGTCTGACTCATTCAACACACAACAGATTGTGAGAATGTTCAGCACCCCTAAGGGGAGCCGCAGAGGGGTATTGCACGGTCCCGTTCGCGGCCGTTTTGTGGGGATGTCTCAAGCGGTTTGCTTGTTTGTTCTCCCAACACCCTTCGCTTGGAGAGCCAGATTGTGAGGATGTCTCAGGCGGGGCGCTGGTTTCAGCTACCTAAAAGGAGCCGCCGAGCGGTATTGCACGGTCCCGTTCGCGGCCGTTGTGTGGGGATGTCTCAAGCGTTTTGCTTGTTTTCTGTCCCAACACCCTTCGCTTGGAGAGCAGATTGTGAGGATGTCTCAGGCGGGGCGCTGGTTTCAGCTACCTAAGGGGAGCCGCCGAGCGGTATTGCACGGTCCCGTTCGCGGCCGTTTTGTGGGGATGTCTCAAGCGGTTTGCTGGTTTTTTGCCCCAACACCCTTCGCTTGGAGAGCAGATTGTGAGGATGTCTCAGGCGGGGCGCTGGTTTCAGCTACCTCAGGGGAGCCGCCGAGGGGTATTGCACGGTCCCGTTCGCGGCCGTTTTGTGGGGATGTCTCAAGCGGTTTGCTTGTGGTTTGTCCCAACACCCTTCGCTTGGAGAGCAAGCTGATTGTGATGATGTAGCTACCTAGGGGGAGCCGCCGGGTGTGCTTTCACGGCTCCGTTCGTCGCCTTTCTGTTGGGATGTCTCTAGCGGTTAGCTTGTCTTCTGTTTTTGCGTTGTGTCCCGAGTGGTTCCCCGCGTTGCGTACGGCGGCCAAAGAGGAGTGACCAGGTGTTGTTGGCGCGGAGCTTGTGTCCCTACAATGTGAGATGCGCATATGGCTCATATGGTTAGACGCTCAGTAAAATATCCCAAATACAAGATTGATTGTTTAAAAAGGATGCACATTTGGGGAGCTCCACGCAGTGAGTAATTACTCTTTCACTAAGTGTTACCCATATCCTAATGGTGGGGTGATGTTATTCCCCATATCCTAAGTATGGGGTTCTTGTTATTGGCGGACCGCGCCGGAGGAGAGAGAACACACCACTCCTCTCACTCAGACCCACACACTCATCACTCAGACTCACTCATCACTCAGACCCACTCATCACTCAGACTCACTCATCACTCAGACTCACTCATCACTCGGACTCAGTCATGACTCAGACTCATCACTCATCACTCAGACTCACTCATCACTCAGACTCACTCATCACTCAGACTCACTCATCACTCAGACTCACTCGTACTTGTACTCATACGTTCACTACACTCACTCAGGTCCACTCATCGGATGACTCACACACACACACACTGATGTTGAGGATGTCTCAGGCGATTCTGTGGCTTCAGCACTCCTAAGGGGAGCGGCGGGGGGGTATTTCACTCGGCCCCTTTCGCAGGATTTTGTGGGGATGTCTCAGGCGGTTTGGCCATTTTCTCTTCCAACATGTTTCGCTTTCGGAGCAGATTTGGAGGATGTCTCAGGCGATTCGCTGGTTTCAGCACTCCTAAGGGGAGCGGCGGGGGGGTATTTCACTCGGCCCCTTTCGCGGATGTCTCATGCGGTTTGATTGTTGTTTGTCCCAACATCTTTCGCTTTCGGAGCAGATTTGGAGGATGTCTCGAGCGAGACGCTCATGTTCACCCCCTTAAGGGGAGCCGCCGAGGAGTCGTATTTCACGGTCCCGTTCGCGGCCGTTTTGTGGGGATGCCTCAAGCGGTTTGCTTGTTTTCTGTCCCAATATCTTTCGCTTTCGGAGCAGATTTGGAGGATGTCTCGAGCGAGGCGCTCATTCTCACCTCCCTAAGGAGCGCCGCCGAAGGGTATTTCACGGTCCCGTTCGCAGCCGTGATGTGGGGATGTCTCATGCGGTTTGATTGTTGTTTGTCCCAACATCCTTCGCTTTCGGAGCAGATTTGGAGGATGTCTCGAGCGAGACGCTCATGTTCACCCCCCCCTTAAGGGGAGCCGCCGAGGAGTCGTATTTCACGGTCCCGTTCGCGGCCGTTTTGTGGGGATGCCTCAAGCGGTTTGCTTGTTTTCTGTCCCAACATCCTTCGCTTTCGGAGCAGATTTGGAGTATGTTTCGAGCGAGGCGCTCATTTTCATTTTGCTAAGGGGAGCCGCCGAGTGGTATTTCACGGTCCCGTTCGCGGCCGTTTTGTGGGGATGTCTCAAGCGGTTTGCGTGTTTTTTGTTCCAACAGCTTTCGCTTTCGGAGCAGATTTGGAGGATGTCTGGCGCTCATGTTCACTCCCCAGGTGGGCCAGATTTTGAGGATGACTCGATCGGTTTGCTTGTTTTGGTGGCCAGACTCGTGGGCACAGGAGGCTCCAACATGCTCCAGGAGGCCCCAGGAGACCACATGAGGTCCCAGGAGGCATCAGGAGGCCACATAAAGACTCAAGAGGCCACCGGATGTCCCAAGAGACTCCAGGAGGCCCCAGGAAGCTCCAGGAGGCCTCAGGAAGCCACAGGAGGCCCCAGGAAGCCACAGGATGCGCCAGGAGGCCTCGGAAGGCAACAGGAGGCCCCGAGAGGCCCCAGGAGCAGGAGGCCTCAGAAGGCAACAGGAGTGGCTCCAACCCCATGTGTTTGACATACGCTCCTATAGACTGGGTCTCACCTGGAGCACGAACCCTTGACGTTATACGTATGCCTCTATAGATTGTCCTTCTCCAGTGTACACATTCCTAATTGTTTTACCTATGTTCCTATATCTTGGGCCTCTCTTGGGGCCCGAGTCCTTGGTGTTTTCGTGTATCCCTATGGACTGCCTTTCTCCTGCGGCTCCAATCCGCAATGTTTTATTATGTACGTCTGTTGCTATATATATATATATATATATATATATATATATTGGGCCTCTCCTGGGGCACGAATCCTCCCTAGGAGGTCCCAGGAGGCCCCAGGAGGCCCCAAGAGGCTCCTGGAGGCCCCAGCAAGCCCCAGTAGGTTTCAGGAGGCCCCAGAGGCCCCAGGCTCATGCGCATAGGCGCGCTCGTACTACTGAGGCTCATCCACACTCCAATTCATTCGCAGTTAGATTCATGACCAGACAGTCGCAACTGAAGCCCGTTTATATTCGAAAGCTCTTGCGCCTAGACATTCACGGCGGACAGGTCCATGCGAATAGATGCACATATGGGGAGCTCCACGCAGTGAGTAATTACTCTGACCGCGCCTGACCTCTCACCTCCCCTCTTCCCTCTCTGCCCTAGGCAACGATGATGATTGTGGTAAGAGTTTGAAGTGAGTATGATGGTGATGGTGAACGCTGGACGAGTCTGATGATGATGATGATGATGATGATGATGACGACGATGAGCAGATGATGAGGGTGTCTCGAGCGGCTTGCTACGTTTAGCACTCCTAAGGGGGGGCGGCCAGGGGTATTGCACGGTCTCCGTTCGCGCCAAAATGGCGGGGATGTCTCGAGCGTTTTGCCTGTCCGCATGCTCATCATCTTCCGCTTTCGGAGCAGATTTTGAGGATGTCTAGTGCGAGGCGCCTCCTAAGGGGGGGCGGCCAGGGGTATTGCACGGCCTCCGTTCGCGCCCAAATGGCGGGGATGTCTCGAGCGGTGTGCCTGTTTGTATGCTCAACATGCTCCTCTTTCGGAGCAGATTTGGAAGACGTCTCGAGCGAGGCGCTCACTGTCGCACCCCAGGGGCGCCAGATTTTGAGGATGCCTCGATCTGTTTGCTTGTTTTGGTGGCCAGACTCGTGGGCACAGATTCTCCCCAGGATGCCACAGGAGGCTCTAGCAGGCTCCAGGAAGCCCCAGGAGGTCCCAGGAGGCATCTGGAGGCCACAAGAAGACTCAAGAGGCCACAGGATATCCCAAGACCTGGAACAAGAATACTTGATGTTATATGTATGTTTCTATAGATTGTCCTTCTCCTGTGTGTACAATCCTAAATGTTTTACGTATGTGTCTATAGATTGGGCCTCCCTTGGGGCACGAGTCCTTGGTGTGTTACGCGTGTTCCTATAGATTGCCCTTCTCCTGCGGCTCCAATCCGCAATGTTTTATGTA